GGCCACCTTTACCGTGTGTAAAGATATATTTTCATTGTCAGGAATAATAGCTAGTGCATTCTACTTTCCTTAACACTTCTTCAACCCCAACTCTGTCATCCTTCTTTTCCCAAATGTATCTGTCAGAAATTAATTTTTCTTCTCTTCCAGTATATCCTAGTCTGGGAACTAGAAATTTAATAAAGCGTGTCTTCTTGGATGTAGTCTTCCAGCACATTATACCTGTCTTATTTCCTCTTCCTGGCACCTATCTGTACCTCCATGCCTCTGCATATAGTCTAAGCTGCCTCCACAACTACTCAGTATCAGGACTTTTATCCTGACCTCCAGCATCTTCTCAAGGGCATTAAGAATAGAACATTTTTGCCCTCAATGTTGTTTCATTCAAAATGTCTTCCAGCTATCTGCTTTGCATCAAGTAAGAGTGACAGAAACAACCTAAGATATGAGATGTGACTACCAGAGAAATACATCTTTATTTATTTTGAGACAAGGTTTCCCTGTGTAGCCCAGGCTGGCTTCAGACTCACAAATCTCTTGCCTTAGCCTCCTAAGGGCTGGGATTATAGGCATGCACCATAACACCCATCTTGGAACATCCTTTTTTTTTTTTTGGACAAGCATTTTAGAAGTACTTATCCATAGAGATGATATTTTTTTTGGCAGTACTGCAGTTTGAAGTCAGATCTGTGCTCTTGCTAGGAAGAGCACACCCCTATTCCTTTTAAATGCTTCTATTTTTCATGTAGGATCTTGAACTTTTTGCCCAGAGCCAGCTTTGGACTAAGATCCTCCACATAGCTGGAAGTACAGTTGTGCTTCACCGGGCCTGGCCTATTTGATGATAAGGAGTCTTACCAACTTGTTGCCAGGACTGGCCTCAAACTGCAGTCCTTTCAGTTTCCCCCTCCTGAGGACCTGGGATTATAGTCATGAGTCACTGTGCCCAGTGAGCTAAATGTTTGCGAATATTTTTAAATGAGGTTTTGTTGATGCTGTTTGGAGACACATAATCAGAACATTTGTAGAACTCCTCACTTGAGGTAGTTGTTCTTTGAGTAAATTCTTATTGATGCCACCATGTATAAAGCTTTTATTTTAGAAATAGCAGATGAACAAAAATGAGTAGTCGATAACTTCAGTGTTTCCTGACTATCTAAGGGAAATTAGGCAATATTCCTTTCTTTTCTTTTTTTGGCCGTACTAGGAGTTGAACTCTAGTTCATCTTGAACTCTAGCACACTTGCTAGACAGGTACTCTACCACTTGAGCCAAACCCCCAGCCAGAAAACATTCTTATGAAAGAGAGGTTTTGAAATGGATTCGAAGAGAGAAGGGGGATGGATCTCACCATATCATTTGCCTTAAAACTGTTTTGACTCCTGATCACAGCAGTACTTTTCAAACCTGAGGAATGTACAGATTTCTTTTGGGGGAGATAATTTATTTTGCTGACTTAAATTATTTTTATGTTACTTAAACATATACAAACATAATGAGGTTTAAGTTGATATATAAAATTTGTATTCAAATATAAAGAAAAACAGATTTATATTTTAAATAAAGATAAACTTCAAATCCAATCAAATGATACCTTTTTGCTGAAACTCGGTTGCTCCCAGACTCTTCAGCATGTCTATTTTACTAGGTGCCATCTGATGACTCATTCCTCCTACCATTTTTCACTATTTAAGCTACTATGAACTTTGATTTGTATCATACATCATAATCTCATTTGATTTCCATTTGGCTTGACCATATTCCATGTTATATGCCTTTATATAACAAAGTATAGAGTTAAATTTGCTTTTTGTGTGTCTGAACACAGCAAGAATATAAAAATTATTTTAAAAGGATAATTTTTATGATTATCCACTAAAAAACCACATTACAATATTGAGGGGATGATTGTCTACAGTGCTCCAAGTGTGGTAATGATGTGATTTGCTATATTTTGAATGATCATTCAATAATTATTTTAGTTAGAATTGGCTCCTGTTATGACAGAAAATCCTCTCAATCTGCTATAAGCAAATTTGTACCTGTATAAAACTGAAATATCTATGAATAGGGCTGTTTACAGGCATGTTCTGACTTGGGACCTAAATGATGTCATCTGGATTTATCTCTTGGCTCAGCTTAGTCTCTGTATGAAGGCTTTCAGCAGCATCAGGGAGGATAGATAGATAGGTAGATATAATATTGATATAATATGATATGATAATGGCTTAGAAAATGGGCTATGGAGCCAGTCTACCTGAGACCAAATCTTGACTTTGTCAATTCCTAGCTGGGTAACTTTTGTAAAGTTATATAATATTACTGTGCCTCAGTTTCATCATCTTTAAAATTAGGATAAAATGAGATATCTACTTCACATTTTGGTGGTGAAGATTAGTGAGTTAATGTATCTGAAGTGCTTAGAACACCATCATCATATAGTAAGTAAGTGCTATTTATTGATGGCTTTTATCAGTATACTTACCATTAATATTATAGTTAACAGTCATTTTATCTCGGACACCAATATAGTGGAAGAGCAAGTCTATCCTCCATGAATCAACAAAACCCTGGAATTTAGTTTCTTGGGCCTCATGTTGATTGTATGGTCACTCTTGAATCAAGTGCTGTGGATGGGGGATGGATTGTATCCATTGACTTACCTTGGGTTATATACTCTACTCCTAGAAGTTGATTAGCTTTTTTCCTGAAGCATATTTCCTGAGAGCAGGGGAGGGGTGGTTCTCCTAATAAACTGTTGCCATCAAAAGAGGAAGTGGGTGCTTGGTGACCAAAATGATCAATGTCAATTATAGTGCTATCAAATAGATCATATTTGGTGATCATGTGACATGGCATTCTCTGTGGGGACAATTCTTGGTGGTTTATATCTTTTACTAGGCAACATTTGCTTTGAAATTTTGAATTGCAATTATAAAAATATATTTGTATAAAAATATCAGTTTTGATAATTATATTCTTTGTGTTAAAGTACCTTAATTTGAGATATGTTATTTTTAATTTATGGGAAGGATATTATGTCCTAAAATGTCAGGTAAATATCCTCCAGTATAACTAATTTTCATTAATACAATTATAAATATAAATGTAAAATGGTCACTGAAGTCGAAAGCCTGTCTAGGTGATCCAAACTCCACCAGTCCTATACTATTGTTTTTGACTTTTAAGCTATCTTCAAAATAAATTTATAAAATTGAAGTATTCCCATAGTAAATTATCTTCACCAGTGCTATCCAATAGAGCTTTCTACAATAATGGAAATGTTGTACAATCTGTGTTGTACAATATGGTAGCCACTAGCAACTTCTAGCTATTATGTACTTGAAGTTCCTAGCCTCGGAGGAACTGAATTCTTAATTTTTTTTCTTTTTTCTTTTTTTTGCAGTGGGAGTTTGAACTGAGGGCCTACACCTTGAGCCACTCCACCAGCCCTTTTTGGTGATGAGTTTCTTTGAGATAGGGTCTTGCGAATTATTTGCCCAGGCTGGCTTCGAACCATGATCCTCCTAATCTTTGCCTCTTGAGTAGCTAGGATTATAAGCATGACCACCAGTGCCCAACTCTTATTTTTGTGGCTCTTGCTACTACTTCTTCAACAGTACAACCTCTGAATAGCAACATTAAATAAGAGAATAAGTATAAAGTGCCCAACATGCTCTATACTAAGTGCACAATAGTGGGAAGTGGAAAGGTCTATACTTTCTGGGCTGGAAAAGGTTGGACCTCACTTACTGGCCAGAGTAACCCAATGCAGGCTCATCCCAGGACAATACTGCTAGCTGTTTTAGCATGGCAAGCAAGACCTTCATGACATAGCTTTAACTTTCTTTTGCCACTACATTCTCATAGTTCTGTGTTCTTGGAAAATTGAATTTCACATCATTTCTTTATCACATATCCCCCCCCACATACACATACCCACGAAGTATTTCAGATAAGCTCCTATTATCTTTTATGTTTCAATTCATCTTCTCTGACACGGTCCCTGAATATTGGGCAGCTATTCCCTTTCTTCTCCGTGCTCTGTGTATATTTCCTTTATCCATTTCTTTAGTCCATGCTTCACTGATGCTATTTATTTTTGGCAGCATTGGGATTTGAGCTCAGAATCTTGTGCTTGCTAGACAGGGACTCTACCACTTGAGCCATGTCTGTAATCCTTTTTTACTCTAGCTATTTTTTAGGTAGGGTCTTATATTTTTGTTCAGAGCTGCTTCAGACCAAGATCCTTCTACCTGTGGCCTTCAACATACCTAAGAACACAGGCGCATGACACCATGCCCAGCTTATTGATGAAGACGGGGTTTGCTAACTTTTTTTTTTTTGCCTGGGGTGACCTTGAACTGCTATCCTTCTGATCTCTGCCTCCTGAGTAGCTGGGATTACAGGTGTGACCCACTGTGCCTAGCTGACTGATGCTATTTAGTTTTCTTATCTTGTTCACTCAACTGGGAACTCATTTTCTGTGGGCTTGCACTAAGTAGGTGCTTTATGAATGCTTAGCTTGATGGATGGATGGATAGATGGATGGATGGGTAGTTCTCAACCCTGGTCACATTTATGATTAAAAACTATTTTAAAATCAACTTTATTGATATATAACTTTTAAGAAGATATACCTATTTTTAAATATACAGTTTGATAAATTTTGGTGGATGTTATCATTTATGTAACCACCACCACATTCAAGATATATATAATATTTCCATTACCCCAAGGTATCACTTTGTGCTTTTTCCCAGTCAGTTCTGGCTCCAGCCAACCATTGATCTATTTTTTCTCACTATAGATTTGTCATTTTAGGGTTTCATATAAGTAGACTTGTACAGTGTGTGCTTCTTTCATATTTAGGATGTTATAGGCAAGAGATATGTTAAATGCACAAACATCATAAATGTTAAGGTCAATATGACCATAACAATAAGTGCAAACAGTGCTTGACATTTTGGAGTCATGGTTTTACTTGTCTCTCTCCACAGTTTACAATTGGACCGTGGATGAGGTGGTACAGTGGCTGATTACATATGTGGAGCTGCCTCAGTATGAGGAGACTTTTCGGAAGCTGCAGCTCAGTGGCCATGCCATGCCAAGGTCAGCAGGGGGACTGGGTTTTTCTCACTTGATGATGTAGGGAATGGGCTGGGATGGGTCTCCCTTTAGGTTGCTCTGTCTAGTTAAGTGAGGTTTCACTCTTAACAGGGCAGAATCTATGGACAGTTACTCTTCTCACATCTATTGTGTGTTTACTTTAAGGCATGATGAGCACTTTGCATCCATTCTCTTATTTAACATTCCTGTCAATCCTGGGGATGGTACTAATAGATTCCACTTATTAAGTGCTTAGTACATGCCAGACATTCTAACTCCTATGGTTTATCCATATACAGTTTACCTGATCTAACAAAAATGGTTCAGATGAGGGGACTGACTGCCTTTAGTCCTCTTGTCTTTGAAATGACTTCTACAATAGATGTTGTATCATAACTCTTTGCCTATTTTCTAGGCAAAATATACTAGGGCTTGAGCTGGGAGTGCAGAGGGTTGGAGTGCAGCTTGGACTTCTTGTTATGTCATTTAATCACTAATCCATTTGCTTATTCATTCAACAGATAATTACTGAGTATGTCTCTATACCACATATTTATGCTAAGTGCTGGGGATAGATGATAATAATTGCCCTTTCCCTCAAAGGGCTTACTGTCTGATAAGTGTCGATTACATGTAATCTGTTATATTATATAGATGCATCTAGTTTTGAGCTTCAGCAGAGGGGAAAGGAGAAAGTGAAGCTGTTGGAATGCCTACACATTGTAGTCTCCAGGCACAGAGCTACCAGACACAGCTGTCCAGGCCTAGCTGAGCTGGCTGTTCCTTCCTCTGCTGCCTGCAGCCTCTGCTTCACAGCTTCTTCATATTCTGGAGAGAGAATGATCTTTATAACTCACTGTTACCTATTATTTCAGATCTTACAGTTTGGGAAGAAGGAATTACCAATTACCATCCCATATTTTGACTGAGCAAATTGCACTCCAGTATATCATAATTTATCTAATCTGGTAAATGGCAGAGTTAATATTTGAACCCAAGTTTGCCTAGTTTCTTTTTCTTTCTTTCTTTCTTTTTTTTCCTTTTTTTTTTTTTTAGCTGTACTGGGGTTTGAACTCAAGGTTTCATGCTTGGTAGACAGGCATTCTACTGCTAGAGCCATGCCTAGTTCTAAGTACCTTGTTTTTTTCATTGCTCCTTCTTTTTGTGCCGTATGATTGAAGAAGGCTTCTTTGCAATATTCAAATTAGTTTTTTGGCAGTGGTACTGGAGTTTGAACTCAGGGCCTTGTGCTTAGTAGGTGCTCTACCACTTGAGCCATACCTTCAACCCTTTTTGCTGCAGATATTTTTAAAATATGGTCTCCCATTTATGCCCAGGCTGTCCTGGACCATGATCCTCCTATTTATGCTTCCTTCATAGTTAGGATGACAGGCACACATCACTGTGCCCAACTTTTTATTGGTTGAGATGGGATCTCATGAACTTTTTTTCCCAGGCTGGCCTCAAACCATGATCTTCCTTGTCTCTGCCTCCCTGGTAGCTAGGATTACAGACATGAACCACCGTGTCTGGCCTAGTTTAATTCTTTTTAACAAAGCTTCATCGTATACCTACCATGTATCATGTTCTCTGGACTATGAGGACAAAGAGGTGCATTAGATCAAACCCTTGCCTAGAGGAACTTCATATTCATTTGAAGAGACATTCAGATGAACAGATGATTGACCAAAAAGCTTCAGGATGTAGGTTTCTTTCTAGCTTCTCATGGAAATAGCAGTATTGCCTTGTGGATCCTTGGAAAAAATTCATTAGAAAGAAAGGTTATAGTTTGTGTTAAAACAGGAAAGCATAGGATAAGAAGTTAGTTCTTAGGTCATAAATTTACCTAGCCCTCTTGTGGCTAGGAATAGAACCAAGATCAGGTCAGCCAGGCTGTGTACAGGAGTAGAAGATGGCAAGCTGTGGTACCTAAGTGACAATAGGAAGTATGGAGCCTTCTTTAGTGCATAAGGTGGAATAGGGGTGGTTGTAGGTCCATAATTAGCTAGCATGGTATAATAGGAAGAATACAACAGATTTGAGTTCATTCTCTGATTTGCCGCTTACTTGTGTGTAACTTTGGCCAAGTTATTCAACTCTCAGTCTCGTTTTCATATCTACAAAATGGAGCAAATAATAAAACTACTTTCTTAAGGTTTTTGTGAGGACTAAATGAAGTATTATACGTGAAATGTCAGAACAGTACCAGATACACAGTAGTTGTAAATGCTAGCTCCTTTCTCTTTTCTCTACTGCTTAAAAGTAGATAGCATTCCAGTTCATAGATGTGCTTGAGAAATAGATTTAGAAAATATTGTAACATTTATTTTGATTAGTCAGACAAAATTCAGCAAACTTTGCAGAAGTGATCTAAAGAGGAGTCCCAAGAACTCCAGGACTAATGGGAGGCATTTGATCTTACATAAGTTGATATAGAAAGAAACTGAAGTTCTAGGAGAGGGCTCAGGTAGCTTATGACCAGACAGGTGAGTCACTGGTAGAGTAGGGACCAGAAGCCAGATCTCTTGACCTCTAATCACAATGCTGTCTGTCTTATAGGTGGGCTTAATTGCTTTCCAAGGCCAGAAGAGTAAATAGCTGTTCCTGCCTGCTCAGACAGGAGTGTAAACCATAGACTATGATGTCAGAAACTTTTCTTCTAGCTAGGGAAATAAAGCTATGAATCAGAAAAGATCACCAATCTTATAGAGTAGAATAGTATTAAATGTTCCTTTAAGGGACCCAGACAAGTGGTTTTTCAGCCTTTCATGTATTATGCCCCTTTCCTCCTATACCCATTGTGTTCTAGCAGAAGAGAAGCAAAGTCCAATCTTTCCTAGGTTCTTTTCTTGTTTACAGACTCTGTCTTATTAAAGTTACCATTGACAGTCTGGTTGAAGATCATAAAAATTATAGTAATCTTACTGGGAGTAAATTACATTGCAGTGACTCAGAGCCTAACTCAATTTTTGTCATTATCAGGGTTGTATATAATGACAATGGGTTAGGATTAGGCCAGCTTATAAGTGGGGTTATATGGTATGAGATGTTGACCTGGACTAGACAGGACAATGCATTTACATTGGTGGAAGCTGGTGACAGATATATAGAGAATAATCCCTGGAAGGGGAAGCATAAGAAAAAATTTATATTTGGGTGTGGGAATTGTCATAGAGGGATAATCCTTAGAGGGTATGATACTTAGGAGATGGTGGATATGGGGAGGGAAGGTGCAGAAATTCTTGGTAAATGCTTTGTACCCCTCCATATTTCCTGTTGAGACTCCATTAGTATAGACTTTGTATTTTAGAGCGCAAAAAGGAGCATTCACATAAAGCTAAAAGTATTCCTGGAGAAGACAGGTAATTCTACCAGGATCCTTTTTGCCTTTGCTGTCCAAGAACTAACTCCCCGACTTTTTGCTTCAACAGGCTAGCTGTAACCAACACTACCATGACAGGGACTGTGCTGAAGATGACAGACCGGAGCCATCGGCAGAAGCTGCAGTTGAAGGCCCTGGACACAGTGCTCTTTGGGCCTCCTCTATGTGAGTCCTGTGTAGAGAAGGCCTTCTGCTATGCCATAGACCTCAAAGCTATTGAAGTGACTGGGCTAAAGTTCTGGGTCTCACAGTCATACCTGCAGCAAGGCAGTATCTTCATTATTTCCAGTGGTTTTGAGATATGAAACAGCCTTATATTTTAGTCCAGACATCAACTTTTAGTCCAGCCATTCATTAATTACTTTAAGGAAATGTTTACTTTCTGCTAGTGCTCTGCCAGATACTTTAAGAAGAACTGGATGAATCATATTCTGCCCTAATAGGATAATATGAGCATTCTAGATCAGGTTTAAGCTTAATGGGAGAGCCCTTGCCTAGCATGCACAAAGCCCTAGATTTGATCTCCAGCATGGCAAGAATGACTGAATGAATATGTAAATAAATAATAAAAAATGAGTACTCTAGGTCTGGGGATATAGCTCAGTGGTAGAGTGCTTGCCTAGCATGCATGAGGTCCCAGGTTCAATCCCCAGCACTGACAAAATAAAAAAGTATCCTAAGCCAGGCATTGTTTCTCTGTAATCCTACCTACTCAGGACAGAGATCAAGGGGATATTGGTTTGAAGCCAGCCCAACCAAATAGTTTACAAGACCCTATCTCGAAAATAACCAACACATAAAAGGACTAGTGGAGTGGCTCAAGTGACAGAGCATCTGCCTAGCAGGCATGAGACCCTGAGTTCAAAGTCTAGTAACACACACACACACACACACACACACACACACACACACACACGAAGTGTTCTTTTGAGGCCCACAGGGTAGCGAAGGCATCCTACAGAAGTGGTAGCATATAGTCTCTCTGCCTTTAATGAGAGGCAGAGCTTTATTTCCAGGAAAGTGGCAGAAGAGGCAATTCTAGATGGAGGAAACAACCTGAGCAAGAGTACAAAGGCTAAGATATGAAGGGTATGGTCAGGTATAGCAAGTAACCCATAAGGGGCTGAATGACAGTTACTTGTTACCTGCCTCACTGTGTACATAACAGAGTAAAGGAACTGATTGCAGGACATTTTTGTGTCCTTGGATAACCAAGGAAGACTAAGTGGGCTTTGGCTGAAGCAACATATACACTCTGAAGTCTAAGAAAGGGTGTCCCCTTCAGCCAAGGGCTAGTTGAGAACATTAACTCATTTAGTTTCTGGAGATCTGATTTGTGGGAATGGCCAACCTGGCCATCTTTTTCAAGATGATGGCCAAGAGAGAACAAACGTAGTAATTTTGTTTTAGGAAATTAGCCTTGACCATACAGGTTCTTAGGGCTGGCTACCTGCTCTTTTCGGGTGTGGTATTAGCCAAATGCTGTAGATCCAGGACCCAGTCCTGAGAAGCAGCTGTAAGAAGACAACTGTGAGAAGGCAAGTCAGTGGTAGTACATTTCCTTGTCTGTGCATATGTATAACTTGACAAGCACCTGAGCTAATATCTTAATACAGGTGGATCTATACCTTTTGAAAGTGTAAAATGGAACAACCTGGAGATTGTTCCATCTTCTTTGCTGCCTTTTAAAAGGGGCATTCTAGGATACATTTTGCTCAAGATTCATTGACAAGTTTTGAATAAATGGCACAATGAATGATGCTACTGTTTATATGAAGCTATCCTCTACGTTGATCAATGACCTATCATTCACTCGCTAACATTTATTGAGCAACTACTGTGTACCAGCATAAATGGCAGGGTTCCTGCTGTCAAGGAGTTCCATCTAAATGAGGATAGGCTTGTCAACAAATACAGTAAATGGTCAAGAACTATAGAAAATGTTATAGCTATTATATAAGTCTTTCCAGAGTTCATTTGAGGGGTACAAAGTTGGAATCCAGAAAGCTTTATGGAGAAAATAATTTTTTTTTTTTTTGCAGTGCTGGAGCTTGAACTCAGGGCCTTCACCTTGAGTCACTCTACCAGCCCTACTTTTATGAAGGGTTTTTCGAGGTAGGGTCTCGCAAACTCTGCCTGGGCTGGCTTCAAACCATGATCCTCCTGATCTGTGCCTCCTGAGTAGCTAGAATTATAGGCATGAGCCACTGGCACCCGGCTCCCCCCACCCAGTGCTGGTGTTAAAACTAAGGGCCTTGTTCTTGCGGGCACTCTACCACTTGAGCTATACGCCCAACCCAGTCAGGCACTTCTTTTTTTTTTTTTTTTTTTTT